ATTATTCTATTTTTGCCATTTAAATTGTTTCCTTAAATTAATCCTGTATCACCCGATAGTGACCTTATTTTCCAGAAATAATCTGATAGAACTGATAGAAAAAAATTCAAATACCAACTCAATTTTCTGATTCCATGTTATACAAAGCAAAATTTTTTCCTTAAATCAATCCTGTATCACCCGATAGTAACCTTATTTCCTGAAATTATCTGATAGAATTGATAGAAAAAAATTCAACTACCAACCCAATTTTCTGATTCTAGCAAAAAATTAACTTTGTGCATCCTTAGATATGAATATGAGCCCATTAATTCACCGTAGATTAAAAAAAAAAAAATCTGACCTACTGACCGGGAATTTTGAAATCCATGTAATGCAAAATAAAAAATCAACTTTGCGTGGCATTATGGTTTGGTTAATTCAAATCAGCAGATTTTCTAAATTAGGCCTTTGTACTAGTCACAGATCTAATAAAAAATAGCAAACTCAGGTTCAACATCCACAAAATTCAGTGAGAAAAGGCTGTTTTCTTGCCCAGATCCTTGTGTCAAAGAGTTTTTTTACTTCTAGAGGTTTTAACTCAATTTGCACTAACTAATAGTGCTCATTTGTTATATAGGACTTGAGTATTATATCAAGTACTCTTACTTTTAATTTCACATATACAAACACACAGTTTATACTTTAAGTATTTCTTTATTAATTAACTACTAAAGCTTCACTAAGACTAAGACTAACTCTAAAGCTAAACTTCTCTATTGTTAAATATGATCAAGATTATGTAATGCATTAGTTATATAAACTAATCCTATACAGATCACAGCACTACAAAATTTAGGGTTATGATTTAGCCTATATTACTTAGGCTAGTAACAAAGAGGTCAGATGTAGTATATAAAAATTTACTATATAAGTTTGGTATAGGCAGCATAAATTCTTATAAAAATTAGTTCTGCCAGATCTGGTTTATTATAACCTGAGTTCAGTATAAGCAGGTTCAGTATATCCAAAGTTGACTATATTAAATATAGTTTGATATACAAGTTACATTTATTATTTTAATATTAGCTAAATTAAACAATTAACAAGATCAAACATAATCAAACAATTTTATCTATTTTCATAAATTTTTAAGTAGTTTATTTATCGAATTACTAAGTTTTAGACAAGCTATTAAACCAAAAACTTATTAATAATTAAAAAAGATATAAAAAAATATCACAAATTTACCATAATTCTTTATATACAATAACATCTTTATTATACATATTTTTTAACAAGTAGCTTGCACTATTTTGCTTTATTTTCTTTTAGTTCATATAAATAACAAGAAAAAATACTATCTATACATGTCTTAGCTTATTGTCGTGCCGTTAACCAGTACCCGGTGTACTACGTACGTGGAATGTTGGACAGTGTAGATCGGGACTTCGATCGTGAACTTGTTCACAATCATCATGTGACCCGTGATTAGATAACTCATTATGATTGGATGGGTAATATGCATAAATCGGGTAGATCAATGATGTAATGATTAGATAGTTTATTATAGTATATAAATTAATTGAGTGATGCGCAAATCGATAAGCAGTGCATGAATAATGTCGTAAGGAGGGTCATAGAAAATAGCGTGATTAGTAATGCAAATTAAAAAGTCAAAATGGCGTGATCCACACATGAGGTAATTTAGCGATAGTATAATTTGTATTTAAAGACATAACGAAATAAAGTCGGTTAGAAAAGTGATTATTACCTGCAAATAAATCGTTGAATCTAAAGTAAATAAAACACTTACCCTAATCGAAGTAGAAAGGTGTTGAGGTGATCGTTAGTTAGAAAAGTGCCGCCGTTTGAGTTAGATTAATAGTGAAGTCCCCTTCATTGTGAAACCGCACGACAAGGAAGAACCTGGGCAGACAAAGGTGCCACTCGTATTGGATTTTGTGCTCCGCCAAAGATAACATATAAGAATACGAAAGAAGGAACGATATTAATAAAGGAAATAGCAAGATTTTTTTTTTCAGGAACCTGATATATATTTAAACAACCGGAACCAATAAACCGAGATCAAAAAGGCAATACTTAGCTGTCTAACAACGAAATGAGTATTTCTGATTCGACCAAACCCATATACCATGCCCGTGACGATGAGGACGTTGAAGAATTCCTGGAGGACTACGAAGCATATAGTGCATCAAAGGATTGGGATGAAGATAAAATGCGGCAGGTAATGAGACTTCATGTCTCTGACGACCTAAAGCCCTGGATCCGTAAGCAAATAAAGGCCAATAGTACTTGGGCCGACCTGAAAGCCGCTGTCATTTCTGGTGCTCAAGCCTCTTGCGACGTTGAAGAGAAGTTAGAACGGTTGAAGAGTGTGAAGCAAAAGCCGAATGATACGATCAAGGCATATACCAACC